GCTTGGCTGTCTGCTGGGTTTAAATTCAGTACAAAAAGGGAGAAATGGGTTAAATGTGGCTGTGCTGGTGGAAACGCAGCTCAGCTTCTGCTCTCCTCCAGCTCTGCTGGAGCAAGGGCTCATCTGCCAGGACAGGCCATTAAATCATGGGAAAAGGCCTCATTTTTTGACTCTTCAAAAGTAGAAGCAACTACAGAGTAAGAACAAGAAACAATACATGGAGTGATAGAATCCTGGAACGGTTTGGTGGGAAGGGACCTTCTAAGGATCCTCTAATCCATCCTACCATGGGCAGGGACATCTTCCACCATCCCAGGCTGTCCAAGCCCTGTCCAACCTGGCCTGGGACATTCCAGGCATCCAGGGGCAGCCACAGCTTCTGAGTCAGGGCCTCACTTACACATAAAAACATAGATAACATATTCCGTTCTATACATTAAATAACCTCACATATAAAACACCAATTCCAAACACCCAGAGCTGATGCCATGCCTTAATTGTCCCCTCACCCCTCAGCCTGGGTGGAGAACTGGATTATTTATTTCCCTGCCCACAGCGGCCTAGGAGCAATTGCTGAGCAACAATGATCCATCGAGGTCTCAACCCGTGCAAACTGTACCTAAACTTCCACTTTATTGCAGCTTAGTTCACAATCTTCACCTAATATAGGGTTACATCCCAGAGCAGCAGGCGGATAAATCATCCTGGAATATTACTCTGGCTAAGTTTAGCTGGGAGTGGAGCATATGTGCTTCCGAGTCACTGAAGCACAGGCCCATAAAATACACTAATTACTGGAAGTTCTGGTCACTGAGTGATTGATAGCGCTCTGCCAGGCAACTTCCCCGGCTGCAGCTCGTGTGAGGGGCCTCCCCCAGCACACAGCAATTATTAATTCATGGCCCAACCCTCAGGCACTGCTCCCTCCACTCCCAGTCCCACCAGCAGCAGGCTGGACATGGTCTGTCCCCACCCCGGTGCGTGATGGAGGTGGGAGAGGAGTCACAGGGAACGGGCTCTGCTTGGAGAAATCACCCCAAACAGCTCCAGGGAGTGAAAGAATCAAAATACAGGGCAGCTTTTTTGCCTGAGAAGGAGTTTGTGAAGTGCATCGTTCCACGTGGAATGGCGGAGACTCCATAAATATTCCTCAATAAGGAGGATTCGGGTGCTGAGAGGGCTGGGCACGTGACGGCTCCTTGTGCCTGGCTGAGCAGGAGGAGTTGTCACCAAGTCCCCAACATCACAGCACCAGGGTCCCTAAAACCTGACAGCAACCAGGTGAGGCTCCTTGCAACAACATCAACAACAAAAAGCTTTTTTTACATCCTTGTTTTCCTTCATCCTAAAGGGAAGGTGTTACCTTTCCCCACCTCGAGGCTGTTTCTTCCAGACCACTACAAAAATTAGGCTGTACCACCAAGATTTGGGGTTCAGATTCTTCCTTCACCACCTCCAATCACAGAATCCTTTAAGCTGGAGAAGACCTTGAAGGGCATCAAGTGCAGCTATTGCCACCACCAGGCCCTGTCCCTGAGCACCACAGCTGCAGCCTGGCTCAGGTGAGGGGTGACCCGATCAGAGAGCACCCCCAGAGCAGGGAAACCCTGCAGAGCCTCCCTCAGGCGGGCTCACAGTCCTGACCTGGAGCCACTCTCACTGCCAAGCTGCTGAGATGTAACTGATCCCACATCTCAGGCTGCTCAGGAGGAGATCTGAAACCTCCCCTCCTTGACAGAGTCTTGACTCCAGTTTTATGCAGCCAAACCTCCTCAACACTGAAGAGCTTTTAGAGAACCATCTCCAAGCACAGCTGCTTTCCTTGGAGCATCCTCTTCCCGCCCCTTCCTCCTCCTCTCCGTGGGCTGAGTGAGCTCTTCTGCAGCTCCCTCTGTGCCCCCAGCCCGAGTGGGATGAAGGGTCTGAGCTCAGCACTCTGGCAGTGCTCAGCTGTGCCTCAAGTACCAAGGAAGGCACATTTGTTGGATTATTCCTGATTTTCCTGTGTCTGGGAGTGCACACAACCACTGAAAACGCCCGATGGCTTCTTGAGAGATTGCTAAGAACCCTTGAAAGCTCCTGCAAATACACAGCTATTGAGAACTCTGCTCACCAAACACTTAAAACCCTCAGTCTGGGAGTTTTAAGAACTAATAAATAAGAACTAATATATAAGAACTATTATTAAAACTGATGCACAAATTCCTTTTCTCTGGGGGAGACAACAGAGAATTTTCTCTCTAATTTTCAAAGGAGACCTAGAACACAGAGGGCAGTGGAAAGCGGAGACAGGAAGTGATACAGAAGGAGGAGCAAAAAGCCAAGCCCAGGAGCTTCTACCTGCAAAATTTACTTGGTTTTGGGCATTAGCAAATTGCTTTCACTTCCTGAATTTAAATGTAACACCAACTCTATCTGGAGATAAAATGATAAATATCACAGAATCCCAGGAGCTTGGGAAGGACCTTAAAGTTCATTTCCCAAGGGCAGGGAACCTTCCACCATCCCAGGCTGCTCCAGACCCATCCAGCCAGCCCTGCTGCTGCTACTAAACCCCAGGCAGATGGATTTTATCCTCCCTTGGATGCTTTAAAGTTCACCTGTGGATTACAGCTAGGACCAGAGTCATATCGGAGAGTAACAAGAAATATTGGGCAATTTAATTTCTCCTCCCGTGCAGGACATGGCTCTTGGAGAGAGGGAATGGGATCCAGGGCTCAGCCAGCCCCAGCCCAGCCTGGATGTGTTTTATGGCTGAGTTATAAACCCTGAAAAACAGCTTTTAGAAATGAAAATGCTGACACAGTGGTCAGTGTAGTGACAGCAGTGGCACGGGTTTAAATTGAACTTGCTTTGTCAAGCCAAGAGCACTTAAATAAAACACGGGGAAACCTCATGGAAACACACAAACTATTTGTGGTGGAACACTTCTAAACAGTTTTTCTGGGTTAGGGATTAAATTCCATTCCCTTCAGAAAAATCCTGAAGGAAGAAAGAAACTCAAAGAAAACAAAGTAACAAAAAATATTATAATAATGATAATAATAATGATTATAGTAATAATCTATAATAATGATGATGATATAGCTGCATATCTAGTTTCATTATATTTTAATTTAATTTTTAATTTATTTTTTTTATTTCTGAGGGGATGACTGAGCACCCTCAGACCCCTCTTGCCTCAAAGGGAACACAAACACTCCCCATTTCTCAAAGCTTAGGCAGGACTCCCACCCCAGACCTTTCCCTCTCTCCTCCCAACTTTTTTGGGGCAGTTTCCTCACCCTCCCAAATAACACTCCCACTTCTCATCACACGCAGCTTTGCAGCAAAGAAATTCCAGAGCTTTTAAGGGCTCAGGAGTGCATTAGAGAAAATGAGAAGATTTACTGACAATTTTACATCCTCACCTGCCAGCACAGCCCTTGCTGCCTCCATCCCACCTGGTATTTCTTTAAAACCAACGTGCTGCTAACACCCAGGTGTGGGGCTGGAGCACAGCTTCACTGAGTGCAGATGATTTTAAATCCTGCAGCAAACACCAGCAAAACTTCCCCTTTTTAACAGCAACAAGAGTGCCTCTACTCCCAATCCCCACGTCAATAGGGTGTTACTTTAATGACAGTGACCTTGTGTGGCTCCTGGAGCACCTTCTTCACCTTTCTGGAGGCATTTTTCTAAGGCACTGTCCTTGTTTTCATCATTTAACATCACTCAGAGCACTTCAATCAAGCTGCTGCTGCTGGTGGCAGAGATCTCGGAGGAGCAGCTGACAAACCAATTAACAAAGCACCCAGACCCAAACTGGATCCTGCACATCTGGCTCAGGAGAAACCCCTGGGAAGGGAGGGAGAGGAGAGCTGGCAAGGTGTGAAACCAGAGGAGGGAATGCAAACGAAAGGAGTTTTACCAATAAAATTCAGCCTGCACGTGGAATTGATGAGCAGCCAAGTTAGCCACTAACAACCCTAAAATAAACTCCCAAATATCTTGAGGTGATCACTGAGCTGCTGGGGCACAGCTTTTAAATCAGCAAAGGGACTGGGAAACGCTTTATTTATCAAGTCCTGTGTTTACACCACTCTTTTTATCACCCACACCACCACAAAACCTCCCTGGAGTACAACCTCAGCCCTTTTTTGGCTGGAGTTATTTACAGAGTGTATGAAATTGGTCTGTATCTCTCCCAAAGTCCTGAGGGAGGGCTCTCCAGCACCACAAACCATTCAAATGTGCAGTGAAACAAATGAAGGGCCCTCCCTCCATTGCTCCCCTGGACACATCAAACTGTGTCACCCTGCCACCCAGGGCTGGCTCCAGTGGCACTGATCCACCCCACCTGCAAGCACTGACCCAGCACTCACCGTCTACATTTGGGTTAAAAGGGGTTTGGCAAGGAATTTGTTGTGTGAGAATGTAAAAATGGCTCAGTTTGGGGCTGCAAAATGTGAAATGTGCCAAGATGCAGAGGGCCAGCACTGAGACTGCTCAACTTCACCTTGTGCTAAAAATATTGGTTACAGTTTCACTTAAAGGTATGCCCAGCTTCACCTGAAAATGAGGGGAAAGAGAGGGGAAAGAGAGGGGAAATGAATAAAGAAAGGAGGAAAAAGGAGGAAAAAGGAGGGAAAAAAAGGAGGAAAAAGGAGGGGAAAAAAAGGAGGAAAAGGGAGGAAAAAAAAGGAGGAAAAAAAAGGAGGGGAAAAAAAGGAGGGAAAAAAAAGGAGGGAAAAAGGAGGAAAAAAAAAGGGAGGAAAAAAGGGAGGAAAAAAGGGAGGAAAAAGGCTCAACACACCAGGCCCTACCTCCTACCCCAGCATGGAGTTTTATTTAAGACCTCAAATGAACAAACCCATTCTAAATACAGCCCAAATTAGCAACAGGTAAAAGCACATGAATATACAGGGAATAAATAAAGAATAAAGAATAAACCAAGGTTAAATTGAAATATTGTGATGCTATTTTTGATGTAGGAGTTCATGTGAGAGCTCTCTGCGTACCTCCATGAAGGAAATGCCCAGGCTCCACACATCCGAGTGAATCCCGTACTGCTCCCCTGAAATCCTCTCAGGCTGTGGAGAAAAGCAGAGGAACAGCTCTTGAGCCTTGCAGGCACCCAGGGATCCTGCTCCAAAGCTGCTCCAGGGCAAGGCAGGGGAAAAAATCACGGGATCCTGGAATGTTCTGAGTTGGGAGGGATCAAATTCCAGCTCCTGGCCCTGCACAGGCATCCCAAAATCCCACCCTGGGAGCGTTGGCCAAACACTCCCCATTCCCTGGGGAGCCTGGGCTGTGCCCCAACGCCCTCTGGGGGAGGAAACTTTTCCTAAAATCCAATTAAAGCTGCCCTGGCCCAGCTCCAGCCCTTCCCCAGGCTCTGTCACCGACCCCAGAGCAGAGATTGGAGCTGCCCCGTGGGAAGAGGGGACACCAAAAAACCACCAAGATGCTCCAAAGCTTCCCTGGCAGGGAGCAAATCCAGGGAAATTCAGGAAATCTTCAGGAAATTCTGGGTCCTTGCAAGGCTGGCCTTGGATTTGTGTTGTGGTTGTTTAATCCAAGGGCCCGTGCACGTGAGCAAAGCACAAGGTCAAGCTGAGAGAATCCAGTTTTCCACTTCCCTCCCCAAATCCAGGCACCACAACAAGGAAAAAATTCCCAGTGTGGAGTCAAGAGGTTGAGGAATAACCACAGTTAAAAAAGCCAAATGACTGAAGCCAAAAGAATCACCACATGGTGGCAACTTCATTTTATATACTTCTTAATTTTGGGCTTTTTGACCTGCAGGGAAAAAAAAAAAAAGAAAAGAAGAAAAAAAGCCCCTGCTCCAAACTATTAATAGCAGGTTTAATGCTTCATGAAATGGAGTGCTGTAAAAAATATCTGCTGGTTTTTACTTGAAAGCTACAATTTAAGCATTTCCAAGGTCAAGTACAGCATGAAATGCAACAATAAAAGGCTCCCTGAGACTCCTCTCCCCACTGTGCTGTTAATGCACCTGTCTGGGCCAGCCACCTACAAAGGATTTTCACTCTTTAATAATCCAGAGACCTTTGTTAGAAAACAAACTCCCAAATTAGTGCCACTCCAATGTGTTTTTGGATGTTTACCCTGCGCTGCTACTCCCAGGTCAGGAGCTTTTATCGCAGCGTGAATGTTAAATAAAAACCACACTGCTGCCCATGCTCCTGCTGAAAACAACCTTCCAAAATCCCCCCAAAAAATCCCCACAATTTCACCCAACTGACCAAATCTCACTTGTGAGTGACCCCGAAATCTTATTTTATTGTTTTTTAATTCATTGAGTATTATTAACCTGGGTCAGCACATTTAGAAATGTTTGCAACAGCATCCTGTGATTTTTTTTTAAGCTGATAAATTTTTATACTGACATATCTTTATACTAACAAATATCCTCACAAAGGTGCAGATGTGCAGCCAAGAGTAATTTTATAATGTGATATGGGATGTGCTAACCTGGCCCAAGCAAGGTGCCAACGTCCACCCCATTGTTTTATACCCTTCCCAAGCCACCAAATGAGATTTATAATTCATATTATGCAATATTAAATTGTTTATTCTTAAAGTTCAAGCTCTAAACAGCAAGTTCCAGTGAGGAACTGTGGGTTCACAAAAGATAAGGGCCAAGAAATCAGCTTTTTAAACAAAAGATGGATTTAAAAATACAGAAAAGAAGAGGAAAATAGGAATAACAGATGCATCAAGGTTGCAACATGTGGATCACTCTAAATACATAACCCAAGGTATCTTCTCTTTAAAATTTCTAGAACTGATTATTTTTTAATCCAATTTTTTTCTATATAAAATGCTGATGAAATTATTTTAAGAAAATGTGTTTTGGTTGGAAATTTTAATTTCTCAATCAAAAAGCCTTTTTTGTTTTCAAAAAAACCCCCAGAAAATCAAAAAGCCTTTTCTTTTTTACAAAGAAAACCTCAATTTTTTCAAGAGTTTCAAATCCACTGCCAGTCTGCCAAGTGGGTGAAGCAAAGCTTATGACCTTCATTATTTTTTTGAGGGCTTGCCTGGAAATTTGATGACAAACAAATGACTCAATCAAGAAGCAAAGTGATGTTAACACAGAAAATCAGATCGAGCACATTTTGAGCTTAAACTTCTGTTTCACAATCAAGAGATGGAGGCATCACATCCATCCAGAAAGGCAAAAAAAGCAATTTATTTAATGCACACCTGGGAAAGAGAGCTGTAATCTTGGTTTGGGCACTAAAAGCATAATACAATTTAATTCTCAGCCCTGCTTAAGACCAGTTTGAAGCAACAGCTGAGCTGGAAAAGTTGATTAATTTGAAGCTGTTTCTTTGTCTGGATCTCTGTGTTCCAGCTCTTTTTTTATCTCTATTTTTTACTTAAAAACCCCCATTTTTCTGCTATTTTGAAGTATTTATTTTCTGCTGTTTCTGAGTGTTCTGATGACACAGGACAGCCCAAGTCTTTCTAGGATGGTGACTTGAGCCTTTCAGAAGCCACACAATGAGCTCAAGTGGAAAAGCACTTAGCAAATAAATGGGAGCCCTGACAAGAAAATCAGAAAAAAATACCTGAAAGCGATTAAAGGTCATGGATTTCTCCCTCCCCTTCCCTGAGGTTTGAAAAACACGAGCACCAACCACTTTGTGCTGTTTATATTTTTATTTTAAACCAGCAGAGCACTTCTTTTCTCAGCAATATCAGGAGCAGTTTGCTCAAAGGATTTTATTGGCCAAAATAAGAGTTCAGAAAGTGCTTTAAAAACTGAGGCTGTGGAGTTTCCACATCTGCAATGGGGAACTGAAAAGGATCCAATGGATCTGATGGAAAATCCGCTCTGATTTGTACTGAGAAATTTTCTGCAAAACAATTTGTGCAGAAAATCCACTCTGATTTGCTCAGGCTGGCACTTGGCAGCTCTGAACCCCAACCCTGCTCCAAATGATGCATCCTTAGCAATGTGCTAAAAAAATCTAAAAAAAAAAAAGGGGGAATTTAGGGGCTTTAATGTACAGGAACAGGACAAAAGTGGTCTTGTGTTAACAAAGACTGACCAAAATTTGTACAGAGAAGTGGAAGTACTGATGACTTTCCTGAGCTAAAAAACTTGCATTTTAATGCCCTGATGTTATTAATCCCAATGTTTTTAGGTTCAAATTTCCATGGGGTGTTTAGGAATGCCCAATGCTTCCCTAAATTCCAGCATTCCCAAAACCTGGATAGTTTGGGGCTGTCAGTGATCTGCAGACAGCCACAAGCTGTGAGTGAAAAACTGTTTTTTTTCTCAATGTCCAACTGGCTTCTCTTTGTTCCCAGTTGTCACAAGGAGCACAACCAACAGAAAATATATTTTAAAAAGCCACTTTTGCACTATTCCTCCTCCCTCTCAGCAAGAAGAAGTAGAGTTGTCCTACGGAATGGAGCCAGGGGATGGGAAGAGATGGAGATGTGAGGATTGATTTAGGATCTCTCCTGCACTCCTGAAGAGAACAAGAGTGAGGACAAATAATTCCATGGAAATGTTATTCCTGCATCACTTACCGCCATGTAAGCATTTGTTCCAACATACGTCTTGGCTATGGAATTCACCAGCTATCAGACAAAACAGGCTGTTAGAACAATATAAAGATAATGTGGAAATAAAATGGGCAATTATTCCTCATTTAACCTACAATCATCATCCCTATAAATCAACTAAAAATTATGTAAAAAAGGGAAGGGATTTATCCGCCAAGGCGTTAAAAATGATTAAATCTCGCCTGGGTTGGGGAATGAGGATTCCAATTTAAGCAAGCACTGCATTACAGTTTATGGCAGATAACCTTAAACAATTGTGTTAAACAGGATACTGCTCGTTTTAGTACCCCAAACCAGTCTGATATAAAAAGTGAATTAGGAGGAAGCAGGATTGAGCACACTCATTTTTCAGTCAGATGTGAATAAAGCCCCAATTCATCCCTTAAACACTGGAGGGACAACAGAGCCTGCCAGCCCATAATACAAGGCTGACCTTCTCTTTGGGCCTCGTGTTTGGCTGAGAGGAAAAGGTGCTGAAATTCAAATCAACAGCACAGCGAGCTCATGGGTCACTAGCAGAGAAGTCCTCCAGGGAGGCCCAAAATGGAAATTAATTAAAATTTGTGCTGCACATTGTCAAAGCCCACCACTATTGTTGCTCCCAATATTAATTTTTATTGTGGGCCAGTTGGGCTCCCCAGACACGTCTCTTGCTCTGCCCTCCCTTTTGTCTGGGCAAAAGGCTCCCAGATCAAAGCTGCATTTCAATGAAGTTTGCTATTCGTAAGTAGTAATTACAATATCAGCAGTTTTTACTGTCATTAAACAATGAACAATCATATTCAGATGGAGGAAAAGTCGCCCAGAGATTAAAAATGAAAAGGGCTGTCCCAGCAGAGAGGGGATTGCTGTGGGGCTGCCAGGTGATTTGGGCACCAGGAGGGGAATGGGGGGAGATGCAAAGGGGGGGATTTACCTGGGTGCTGACCCCAAAGTCACAGAGCTTCACCTGGCCCCGGGTGTTCACCAGCATGTTGGAGGGCTTCACATCTGTTTGGGGGAAAATCTGCGTTATCCACATTCTCCTGGATCATAAACACAGCATTTATACAGAATATCCTCCATTGGAAGGGAGCCACATCCAAATCCAGCTCCTGGCCTTGCACAGGACAGCCCCAAATATCCAGGGAGCACCGGCATAGTGGCTTTTGATAGGAAATATTACAAATATCTATTTCAAATGCAGTGGTTTGTAAGTCAGCAGCACAGATAAAATTCCATATATATAAAAAATATAGAAAATACATCATATCTCCACACAGATATGAGATGGTATTTACACAGATGACTTCATACAATACTAGAAATCCACATTATTAAACCTGCAGGTGACACCAATCTGGAATCTGGAACCAAGTGCACTGATGGATAGGAAAACAACTCACAGGGATTTTGACAAACTGGAAAATCAGCCTGAAAAAAGGGTGGAATTACATAGGGATAGATGGAATTACTGCATTTGGACAGGGATTAATCCTGAACTCACAGGGATTTTACCAAACTGCAAAATCAGCCTGAAAAAACAGGATGGAATTCCATAAATAAACCATCAATGTCCATTCCAAAACCAGAGTATCAGTGCAAATATCCTGATGCTGGCTGCTCCTGCTGCCACGGGAAGCTGATGCACTTTGATGCTGCAAAATAAAATCAACTGGGAACAAACTCAACAGCCAGCCTGGCTCTAGTGCAGGAAACACTGAGCATCTTTGCAGTTCCAGGGATGCCAGTGGGGGAGCAGAACGTGCACGTTACAGCCTGGCTCAAACATGGGAAGATGAGAGCCTGGCTCTGCCTAATCACTGCCTTCTTCTGTCAAAATGGATTAAAGGCAGCAGCTTGAATCAGTGCCTCCCCTCAAAGTGAGCACTGGTTGGGGGCAGATGGATGAAACCCAACTAGAAAAGAACCTAATTTTGTTTATCATTAGGTTTGCCTTGCTTTAGCAGCTGTTTGCTGGTACCACAGGAGCTGCCTTAATTTGTCTCTGCGATGTAGAAACGCAGAACCTCAATTAAGAAGCTGATTAAAGCTCGCCTCTCTTTGAGCTAAAAATCCAGATTAAAAATGGGAGCACCCAATAGTTCCTACAGACCCCAGGTGGATCAGTACTTTGGAAGTGAGGTATCAACACTGCTGGCACTGTAATTCCTGCAAATCCTGCAATTTTCCCCCCAAAAACCCCAGTCCTGGGCACGCAGAGGCTCAGTTTGTGTTTGCTGATCTCCATCTTTAGGAATTCCACCCACGTGCTGCACTTTTGATGGAGTTTTGCCTCCTCTGGAGCTGAGTGACTTTGCTAAATCCAAGCAGACGTGCTGAGCACACCAGAGGCTCTCTCCTGAATCCTGAACAAGGTGCAGAACAATCCTGTTTCACCTTCTTCCCAAAAAGATGGAGCTGGGCTTGGCTGGAAGGAGCCCAGCCCCAGGAGCACACAGGGAATGCTGGTGTCTATCCCAGGATGTCCAGCTGCTCCCAACTTCTAGGGGAAAACTGATTCTGACCAGTTCTGCTTCCAGCTGTAACAAAAAGGATCCCGAAATCCCCCCACAGACAAAGCTGAAAACATGAGAAAATCCTAAAAGGAAGAAAGCACTGGGAAATTGGCCCCTCAAGGATGGGGAGGGGAGGCTGGGGACCCTGCAGAGCAAGGGGCAGTCACACAAACACTGCAGGAGCCAACCCAAGCTGCCCTTCCAGCAGGACCAAACACCACGAAATCAGGGAATTCACTCAAATATCTGCTGTGCTTTTCAATGGCTGTGCTCATTTCCTCAAAAAGGAAAGGAAGTGAGAGCCCTGCACCAAAATATCTGCTGCTGGGAGCAGGGAGACAATCAGCTCATCAGCACATCAGCCTCCTGCTCTCATCACCCACTTCAGCTAATGGGTTAAATATTTTTTGGGTTTGGGAAACAAGTGTGCATAAATAATGTTCTGCACCATCTGCTTGTGATTAATATTAGTGTTGAGAAGTGAAAGAATTTAAACAAGAGCCAAAAGGGGTCATTATGCTCCCATTACCAGGGCTTGCTTAATACAAATGATTTCTATGAAGCATCATTATAGAGGATGAACAAGTTCTCCTGGTGATGGAGCTGCCTGAGTAGTTTCACCTCTCTGCAAACAAACAGGACCTCCAAGCTCTTACTCAACAGTAATAGAACCCTCAGAGGTTCAGCTTTTTGAACACCAAACATTTCACTCCTTGGTGGCATTGAAAAGCAAACAGATTCATGATTGTGTGAGGGGAAAAAAAGGAAAAAAACAAAGCCCTGAGATGCTTTAAAAGCTGTCTCTTGACTTCTGCTGGCTTTTAAAAACAGCAAACAGCAACAGGCCGGGTTCAAGGAAGGCAGCAGCGTGGTTTGGCAGAGGCCAGGATTAAGTTTTTTTTAAAATAAGCCTTAAGTGGTCCATGAGTGGGCAAGCTTTACATACAGGCATAAATACATGCAAGGAAGCACAGAATGTGTGCTCAGCTTTACATACAGACACAAATAAATGCATGGAAACCCAGGATCCTGGAATGGCTGGGGTGGGAGGGGACCTTAGAGCTCATCCTGTCCCCCCTGCCATGGGCAGGGACAGCTTCCACAATCCCCAAACAAATCCCCAAACACCCCTGGGTTTGTGTCTGTGCTCCATTGGGTGGCCCTAATGCTGATTACATCCCCCAGAGATAAAACAGGGAAGGGGGAAAGATGCAAATGTGCAGCTCTGGACATCTCTGCTGAAATCCTCAGCAAACAATCAGATGGGTTTTTACCTTTAACCAAAGCTTTGGTCAAATTCTGCCTGCCCAGAGGTGTGGCTTGCTCACCTCAAGCCTTTCAAAAAGCTTGGATTTAATGATCTTAAAGGCTTTTTCCCAACCTTAATCTTTCCAGGATTCCATGGCTTATGAAAAGCAAATGGAAATTCCATCTACAGCGTTTTGACATAATAATAACAGCAATAACATGATTATTATTATTAATAATTATAACAATAGTAATGGTGAGAAGATGGGAATGCTCCTCCAGTGCCTGTCCCTCCCAGCCAGAACAAAGAGGAGTGGAATATCCTTGGATTTCTGCTGTGCTGGGGGAAAAGGAGGTGGTCAGTGTGATGCACAGACCTCCTCCTGCCACAGATCCTCAATTCTCCCTCTTTTCAAACCAGCAACACCTCCAGAACTTCTATTTAAAAACCTACCCAGGAACTGAGGTGCCCAAACCAGAAATAAATAAATATCTGTAATATATATATAAACAGCCCCAGTACTCAGAGAGCCAAGTCACCAATGCAGCTCAGTACAATTAAACACAAGTGGGTAACATTGATTTCCTGCAATTCCTTTAAGAAGCAGGTGTGAACAAAGCAAAACACAGCAGATAAAATGCACACGGTCTATACTTATTCTTGAACTTAACAGATTCTGGTTTGTCTTTAGACAAACTTTGACTTTGTACATGATTAGACTTGTTTAATTGCTAATTCTGTTTTAAATCTAAGTTAATTTCTCATTACCCTTCCATTTCTACTTCTTATGCTCTGGGGAAAAGAGCACACTTATCATTGGGACATTCTCACATCTTCCAAGGAAGTGGTGGAGGTGTTAATCTTATGTTTATGTTTGATGTGGGTGTGATGACTCCAGCTCGGGTTTATTAATATGCACGGCTATCACCTCATTAGTTGTGAGCTTTGTTTTGAAGTGAAGCTGGAATATTTGCTGAGATGTCTGATCTGCAATAAAAGACTTGCTCATTGTTTGTTTCCTTCTCTCCCAATTCCCTGCTCCAGCCCTTCCTTGGAAATTCCTGACTCTCCTGCTCTGCCCTGGGTGACACTGCAGGAAAATCAGGAGCCAAAATTCCTCCTTTTACCTCTGAGCATCAAAACCAGGAGACAGCTGAAGGACATCACCTGCAGAAATAATTACCTGCCTGCCATTCCATCCCTCTGTCCCTGCTTTGGAGAGAACAGAAATTCACATTTTCTGCAGCCCAAAAATGGCAGGATGAAAAGAGCAGGAGTCACCTGGAGAGACACAGGGTGCAGCAGATGGAAAGAAAGGGAAGGGAGGATGAAGTGGAAGAGGTCATTAAGAGATTTTCTTGGTTTCTGGCCTTTTTCAAGAGGACAAATCATTCCATCCTTTGGCCTTCCTGGTTTTTAGCACCCCACAAGGGCAGGTGAATTAAAGATCCACTGAGATGCTCTTTCCTGGGTTGCTGCTGCCAGGGTGAGGGAACAGATGTGGGAATACACAGCAGCACCAGGGAGCAGAGCAGCTACCTCCAGACTCCTTGGAAACATTAAAAATTGAATGAGTTTCTCCTTTTTTTTTTTTTTCTTCTTCTTTTGGAAGTTTGGTGTAGGGGGAATGGGCTTCTCTGTTCTTTAAACAGCACTTCCCACATTGTTTTTGAAGTACTGGTGGATCTGAATTAATTTTTCCAAACAGACACATTTTAAACAGTAAAATTTAACAGCAAAAAGCAAGGAACAAATGAGAAGTTTTAAAAAACCACCCCAAATTAGCTGCAGGAAAGAGAATAAACAGCAAAGCCCCCAAACTGACTTATGTCCAAGCAGGTTTACAGACTTTCCCTGTCCCTGACCATGGTAGGGTTCATGATTTTACAGATCTGAGCCCCCAGCAACACTTGTGGCTGTCACCTGAGATTTCTAAAGCACCACAGACAATTCATTGCCCATTTTCTGTTTCCACCTCCATCAAACATCTCATTTCCACGCTGATGTTTTCCACTGGGCACCTGTTTGCAGCCCTAAGCTTCTAAATCCCTGTAAAACTCATTCCTCTCCTCAGTCCTTTTCTTTTCAGGGGAGGAGGGAGGGCAATGAAAGAGCAATAAAAATGTTTTACAAGGAAGTGTGCAAGGTTAATGAGTGAGATCCATTCTGCATTACCCCACTGCACTCAAAGCAGATGTTTGCTTGTGGAGAAAGTGATGTTAAAATTTCATGGGAAAACAGAAAACATCTGCTACTCACCTCTGTGTAAAATCTTCAGACTCCATAAATAGGTCAGGCCTTTCACAACCTTTAGGTAAAAGAAATAAAAAAATCACATTTTAGGGATTCCTGATAGGAAAAATTCCCAGTTTCAGCTGGGGTGGGAGATCAGAGAAGGCAGGAGTAAGAATGAAGGCAGGAGCAGGAAAAGGGGAGACCCCACCTCCCTCCCAGGTGAGCCCCTGCTAAAAACCTGCAGCAGGTCCTTTATTAATGCACAAATTAATAATACACACTTTAATTTCTTGCCAGGAGCTGTGAGCTGAACTCAGCTGAGCTCACACTGAATCCCTTCAGGCATCTCAGTGGATCTTTAATTCACCTGCCCTTGTGGGGTGCTAAAAACCATGAAGGCCAAAGGATGGAATGATTTGTCCTCTTGAAAAAGGCCAGAAACCAAGAAAATCTCTTAATGACCTCTTCCACTTCTTCCTCCCTTCCCTTTCTTTCCATCTGCTGCACCCTGTGCCTTTTCCTTTGCTGCCTTTAATTTACCCAATGCAAATGTGGAACTTTTCCTCTTGAACTGTGAAAATTCCCTCGTTCTCCTCTCATGCTGGACCCAACACAAATCCTGCTGCATCTCACAGCAGAGAAACTACAGCTCCTAAAACACAACTCCTAGAAGGAAATACAGCTCCTAAACCACACACAACTCCTAAAATACAATTCCTAATTCCTAAAAGCAAATACAACTCTTAAAAGTAAATACAATTCCTAAAACACAACTCCTAAAAGGAAATACAGCTCCTGAACCTGGGCAGGTTTCAAAATTTGCTCCTTCCACCACCAAAGCTGCTAAAGCCAAACTCCAAACCCAGTTACTTCAGCACAAAACTCAACCAGCACAAAATTCCAACCACAAAATCCCAACCACAAAATTCCAACCACAATATCCCAACCACAAAATTCCAACCAGCACAAAATCCCAACCAGCACAAAATCCCAACCAGCACAAAATCCCAAGCTGTGCTGAGCTCCCCAGCCCATCCCTGCTGGCTTTTCAACACTCTCCACCTCTGAGGTGAAATTTAATTCCATTTCCAAGAGGTTTTCCTCATGGCTCTCCAAACCCATGAAGCATTTCTGACCATGTTCAAGTTGTGTGAGTTCTGCAGTCAAGACAATTCATTTTCTGTGCTCTGAGTAGCCCAAAATAAAATTATTTATGTTGCAGTGATGGAGCAGAAGTGCTAAAAGTTACACAGAGTGAAAGCAGAGAGCACAGCCATTTTCTGCCTTCCTCTCGGATTAGAAACTCTTTCAAAATTTAAAATTTATTCTGTAAGAAAAATTATGTTGGTGGAATCAGAATCTTTTTGTAAAGCAAATAATGATGGTGGATCCCAAAGGAATCATTCCAGGAGATAATTCCTCCCTTAAACTCACTCCAAACCCAAGCATCTCCTGGCCTCAGATGCTTTTTACCTTTAACAAAAGCTTTGGTCAAATTCTGCCTGCCCAGAGGTGTGGCTTGTTCACCTCAAGCCTTTCAAAAACCTTGGATTTGATGATCTTGAAGGGTTTTTTCCTAACATTAATCTTTCCACGATTCCATGGCTTATGAAAAGCAAATGGAAATTCCATCTACAGTGTTTTCACATAATTACACCAGCAATAACATAATAATAATTATCAATAACAAATAACAAACAAATAAATATAATCATAAATATAAATATACATATAAATATAAATAATAATATACCAATGCAAAAATAATCAAGGAGATGCAACATTTCAAACCTCCTCCAATGGCCAAAGGGATTTTCAGAACAGTAAACTCTTTGATTATTAAAAATGTATTTAGACTATTGAAAATCTTTCAAGCCATAGGAAATTGTTTAGTTTAAAGCAAGCATCCATTAAAAAAAAAAAAGGAAACATTTCTCAGGAAACAAAAATCAACAGCTGTGAGTTACTACACATCCTTATGATGGAACATGTGCTGGGTAAGCAGTGAGGGAAGCCATGGAATTACCAAACTCTCCCTTCAGACTCTCTGGGTGTACAAAGGAATAAAAAAGGAGTTTTTCCCTTTATCCTGGGCTGTAAATCTGCTCACAGGAGCCCCCCAAATGGACTCAGCTCGTTATTCACTCCCCTTACATTTGCCTATTAGGGAAGGACTCTCAAGCATTAAATATTATTCTAAACCTGGAGGGGAGAATCTTTTGATTGAAGCCGGAGCAGGAATTATTGGTATTCAGTGAAGGAGGTTTTACAACAATGCCTTGACAAAGCCTTGACACAAAAAGTGCTTCCACCTGCTGTCAATCTCTCACTCTGCTGACAGTTCAAGTGCACATCCTTTCAGGGAGAACTTCAATCAACAGCACAGAGCACAATGTCACTGCTCCAGCAAGGGAGGGAAAATAAATGTGTGAAGAGGCAAGCCAAGGCACAGAGGGAGCAGCAGCACCCCAGCAGCGGCCACAGCCTCCCTTCAGGCCTCCCAAAATCTGCTTTTCCTTGAGAAAACACCCCAGCCCTCCATGGAAATAAAAAAAGGAGGAAGGGACTGAGGGAGATTTCCCCTTCTCACTGGTGGCGACTCCCAAAGGGAGCAGGGATGGATTTTAGGGTGAGGGCAGAGATCCCTCCACATCTCCTGAGAGAACTGGGATTGTCCAGCCTGGAGGAAAGAGAGAAGCTCCAAGGTGACCCAAGTGTGGCCTTGCAGGGCCTGCAGGAACCAAAACCAGGGATGGAGAGACAATTCCCAAGGGATGGAGGGACAGGAAAGGGGAATGGCTCCAAAACGCCAGAGGGCAGGGCTGGATGGGATATTGAGAATGAGGAATTGTTCCCTGGGAGGGTGGGCAGGCCCTGGCAGAGGTGCCCAGAGCAGCTGGGGCTGCCCCTGGATCCCTGGAGTGCCACATGGGACAGGAAGCCACTCCCTGTGTCCTGCCCCTTGTCCCCAGCCCCTCTCCAGCTCTCCTGGAGCCCCTTGGGGCTCTGAGCTCTGCCTGGATCCTTCCCTTCTCCAGGGGAACATTCCCAGCTCCCTGCAGCCCCTGGGGCCTCTCTGGAATTGCCCCTCATCCATGCCCAGTCTGGTTGAGAGGGCAAAAGATGAGAAAGACAAATCCAGTGGAGCCCATTTAGAACCATTTAGGCTGGAAAAGCCCTCCCAGATCAACGAGTCCAAGGCCAGAAATCCCAAAGCTGGAGCCAGAGGAGTGCTGGGATGCAGGGAATGCCTGCCTGTGCTGCATCCTTTTCCTCTGGAAATGGCTTCCCTTAAAAACTTCCACAAATTGCAATTAACAGGTGTGCAGGTCATCAAGCAGCTTCCACGGATTCATGCACTGGACATGTCTTGGGAAAATAAAAAAATGACTGTGGACATGGGGATGGGAAAATAAACCAGACTGGGGGGGAAAAAAAATTATGGAAGCAGCAGGTTTTGTCTACAAAATCCACCCAAAAAATTATGGGGAAAATAAACCAGACTGGGGGGGAAAAAATTATGGAAGCAGCAGGTTTTGTCTACAAAACCCACCCAAAAAAATTATGGGGAAAATAAACCAGACTGGAGGGAAAAACAAATTATGGAAGCTGCAGGTTTTGTCTACAAAATCCACCCATGGAGCTGCAGCTTTTGTCTGTCTCTCCTTCAGCAAGCCCAGGATCTGGGTAATCCCAGGGTGCTCAGGGGATTACAAGGACTCAGCACAAAGGTGCCCCAGCCCCCTCCCAAGGCTCTGCTGCCCCTCAGACACAGCCTGGGGAGGCTGGAAGGAGCCACTGAGCAATTCCAGGGAAACAAAAGGCTCCTGCTGCCTCCCTCCAACACCTCCACTGTGCCAAAAACCAGCACCAGGGCCCAGGAGCTGCCAGGGCTGGCTCAGCCTCAGCGCTCACCTTCTGCTCCCAGAGCAGCAGAAAAGGGTGAGCTCCCCTTCTCTGAAGCTGCTTTGTTCCCCTCCTTCCTCAGCCCCTGCTCTGCAGTGGGAACAGGAAGCAGGAAATAAAATAACTGGGAAAAGTGAAATATCCATGTCAGGGAGTGAGGCTCGCAGGCAGGAAAGAGGAAATAAAATAACCGGGAAAAGTGAAATATTCATGTGAGGGAGTGAGGCTCATGGGCAGGAAAGAGGAAATAAAATAACTGGGAAAAGTGAAATATCCATGTCAGGGAGTGAGGCTCGCAGGCAGGAAAGAGGAAATAAAATAACCAGGAAAAGTGAAATATCCATGTCAGGGAGTGAGGGTCACAGGCAGGAAAGAGGAAATAAAATAACAGGGAAAAGTGAGATATCCATGTCAGGGAGTGAGGCTCACAGGCAGGAAAGAGGAAATAAAATAACTGGGAAAAGTGAAATATTCAGGTCAGGGAGTGAGGTTTGCGGGCAGGAAAGAGGAAATAAAATAATTGGGAAAAGTGAAATATCCATGTCAGGGAGTGAGGCTCACAAGCAGGAAATAAAAACTAGGAAAAGCAAAATACCCATGTCAGGGAGTCAGGCTCACAGGCAGGAAATAGGAAATAAAATAACCAGGAAAAGTGAGATATCCATGTCAGGGAGCCAGGCTCCCAGGCTGACTGATCAGGGACAAAATGAAAAAATCCAGCTATGGAGACACAAAAGGTGGGGCTGGACAGCAGCGTTAGGGGTGAGAGGAAAACTGGAGGAGAACACCTGTGGAATGGCAAGGGGAGGATGGGGAGAGATAAAACCAAGGTGTGATGGATTAAACCCACCCCTAAAATCAGGAAGAGGAGAAGGAATGAGCAGCTGGGGGAATGCTGGAAGCCCATCCCAGATCATCAAACCATCCTCATCATCCTCATCAGGAAAATGAGAATACTGTGAGCAGCTTCCCACTCACTGCTCCAGAGGGGAGAGGAGATGAAAGATTCTCCCTCTGAGCTGAGGTGAAAAGCTCTCAAACTGCACAAGGAGCTGCCAGGTACATAATGAGCAGATTTGAAGCTGCTCAGAGGAAACAGCATCAGAGAGGGATGTTCATCACCCTGGGCAGGCCACACAAATTAAGAGGAAAGGAGAGCTGTGAATTACAATGAACAGAGACTAAATAGCTGCCTGTGTTGGATTAAAGGATTTAAATTGTCAGCTTGATGTATAATGAATGTGAAAAGCCAGCACTTAATTAAATGGCACATGATAGAATAACTTTGTTATGCTTTAAACTGCTTAAGTTATCAAAGTATTCCTTATATTTGGCAATTGTTTTGCAGTATCTCCCTCCCTGGTGAGATCCACTGAGACACTGGTCATTACCCTCTGCTCAGCTGTGGGGAAGGATGGGTTTTTTGAACTTTTGAATTTTCTGTTGGTCTGTAATTTGAGTTTTCAATCATGGCCAGTGGATTTTCAGCAGCTGAAGGCTGCAGAGCCTCAAGGATGAGCTGCCAGGGGCTTTAAGGCTTCCACTGTCAACACCTCAGGACCAAACCCAGGAGATATGAGGGTTCTTGAGACAGCACAGCCTCAGCACCCCAAAAATGACCCCAATTAACCCTTCCCTGGGGCTGCTCAGGTGTGGAGGAGTGAGAGACCAGCCCATGGCAGCTCTGGCTTGTGCCAAGGGAAAAACTTCATCCTCCTTGAGCAGAACACAGAAAATCTGTTCTGCCCCTGCATTTTGGTGGCAGGAACCAACCCAAGCCTCCAAGCCCTCAAGGAAAACCCACAGAGCAACCAAAGAGAGAGGGGGTTGGAAAACCAACCCTGTGGCCAGAATGAGGACAGCCAGGATGGAAATCACACACCCAGAGACAAAGGATCCCCAGAGGGCCCCTGAGCCACCTCTAAAGGCACCACAGGGAGCAGAAGGGCTTAAGGGGCTGATTAAAGAAATAATTTAATAAATCAAGGTGATCAAAAGCACTTCTCCATCCTGATGGGAAGAAACGCTGACAGGAAGGGATGTGACCACACAGACTGCCAGCAAATTCTTCCTCATCCCACTCCATTCACCCCATCCTGTCACACAGATGTGAGTAACAGAATCCTGGGAGGGACCTTAAATCCCACCCAGTGCCAGCCCTGCCATGGCAGGGACCCCTCCCACTGTCCCAGGTGCTCCAAACCCATCCAGCCTGGCCTGGGGCACTGCCAGGGATGCAGGGGCAGCCACAGCTGCCCTGGGAATTCCAGCCCAGCCAGGAATTCCTTCCCAAGATCCATCTCAATCTCCACTCTGAATCCCCTCCCTGTGTGCTGTCCCTCCATCCCTTGTCCCCAGCCCCTCCCCAGCTCTCCAGGCTGGACCATCCCAGCTCCCACCTTCCCCTCACAGCAGCCCCATCCCGAGGAGCCCCCAGAGGTTGTGCTGGTCATTCCCAAGGCAGATTTCCCTCATCCCAGAGCCCCTGAGCACAGGGGATGGTTTGGAGGAGCAGAGGGAGGAAGGACCCTCCTCTCACACGGACCCTGGAGCTGCCCCAGCCTCCCAGTGACCACCCAAACCCAGATTTTCCACTCCCACAGCAAAAACTGAGAGATAAAAAGCAATGAATTACTCACAGCCACCGCTATCCTTCCGAGAACGTGTTCTGGAATTTTTCTATAAACATCCAGAGACCCCCCTGCAGGGACAAACAGCACAGGCTCAGGTGGTGCCAGATGAAACAGTGCCCCAGATTTGAAGCCCCAAGGGTTTTCTAGGCCTTGGTTATTAATAAAAACACCATCAGTGATAGAGCAATAGCTGTGGCAGGAATAACTGACCTTAAAAACCTCCCAAACTCTGCATAAACACACAAAACAGCACTCAGGGAGCTTCTTACCCACGTCCCTGATTTCTGCTGGTAGCATTGATCCTCAGAAAACAGCAGTGACAAAATGTTGGAAAACCTTCCACTCATAAATATCAACATTAAAGAACTCCAAACTGTGTGGAAAAATGTCTTGGGGATAACAAAATCACCCCAAAAAGCAGATTTCAAGGTCCAAAGTATCCCAACTCTTGTCCTCAAAAGCCGGTGCTACCATTCTGTGCTATCACATATTTATATCCACGATTCAATGGATATAAACATCCAATTAAATGGATATAAATAGCCATTGAAATGGATATAAATATCCATTTTATATCCATGATTAAAGCCATTCCTCCCGACATCACACCAGGGAGGGTTTGGCCATGCCCACACTGATGCCTGAAATAGAATTCCTGAGGAAGGAGTTGAAGTTTTCCCAGTAAATCCAGAATGGGAAAGAGCCCTGTGAGCATCCCCCATTGATGGGGACATGGGATTCCCTCTAAATCCCTACAGACCTTCCCAAGGGATTGGGAAACCTCCCTTCTCTTCTGCAAAAAAAAAACCTCATGATCAAAGCAGAGTCCAAAATGTCCCTGGGCTGAAATACAAATTCTTAAGGCAAGGAAAGAAATTTAAAACTGAGAATTAAAAATCTGGCAAACTGCTGCCCCAGGGCATTGTCCCTGCTTTTCCTCAGGAATATCCCAGATTCAGACACCAGCACAGGTCACAAACTGCTGCCCCAGGCCATTGTCCCTGCTTTTCCTCAGGAATATCCCAAATTCCCAGGCAAGGGCTGGGACAGCTCTGGAATTCCAGGCTGTGGGGCCAGGGATGGGTTTGGGGTGAGGATTCTCGTGGGGAGGAACGAGAGGGACTCCAGAAGGAACTCGGCAGCGAGCTGGGAAACAGCTGGGCTGGAAAATAACTCCTTGCCTGGTAATTAAGAGACCATTTCCACTGCAAACACCCAGGACATTGGGTTAATAGATTTCTTGAAAGGAAAAGCTGTTTTGGCTATCAAAACACTACAAGTGAGGAACAGATGTTTTGTCAGTGAGGACAGATTGCACGGGAGGCTCAAATATCAAACCACAAATTAAGGCTGCCTTTATTCCTCTTCTATTTACATTTTCCATAAAAGTAAGAAGAGTTCCACGCAGGGAAAATGCAGAATGTCCCCCAATCCCAACTCCAACCTGCTCTGTTTTTTTTTAACTACCTGCAATATTATTAATACTCCACGTTTTTGAGTCTTACTGTTGCATTTCATTCTACCAAAACAATTCTCTCATTTAATTACTTAGCAATCAAAAGCAAACTGGATCCACTACTCACCATCCATGAACTCTGTGCACAATGAAATCCTGTTTTCTACAAAAAAAGCACCATAAAATCCTATGATATACGAGGAGTCACACTGGGAAAAGAGAGAAAAAAGCCACAAGGCTGTTTTAAAATCTGCTGTAAGAAAACTGAAGTAAAAGTAATTCCAATGGCAAAACCCACATACCTTGTAAAGAATTTCTAACTCTGACATGATCTGCTTCTGGAGCTCCAGTGTTATATCCAAGGGTATGACCTGAAACACAGAAATACACAGAGTTCATGTAAAAGGGAAGGGAATGATTCAAAATTAAAATCCTGAAGATCCCTGGAATGATGATCACTGTGGGGCAACAAGGAGAGGAATAGGTGGACAGAAAATTTTAACAGGAAGGAAATTGTCTCACCATCCCAACTGGCCAGCAGGACCAAAGCAGCAGGGACTGCAGCCAAAGTGGGCAGCACCTCCTGCAGCTCTGAATCCCCAGGATTGTTCAGGGCAGACCCCCTGAACGAGGCACTGAAATTCAAACTGAACACAGAATTTCTTGCCACAGTTCTTTGAAGACCTGAAAACTCAATTATTAAGCTCCGCTTTAAAAACCAAACTGGACTCAGTGCTTGGAGCCAGGCTCAGTCTGCCCCCAGCCAAGCCTTCACCATTTAATACTTTAAGCTAAAGGGAAGCAGAATTCAGTCAGTTTCCAGGAGCAGCAGAATAAACATTCCAGGAATAGTGCTGACAGAACAGAACACAACACGGGGAGCCCATTTCCAACCCAGCACCAAAATCTGTCTCCAGGAAAAACCAATAACCTGCCTCTTCCCAGAGCTGCTCCGGGGTTATTTATAAAAGCTGTCACTAAACTAAATTGTAAGTGGAGTACAGGGCTGCCAAGAAACATTTAACACACTTGTCCAGATCAATAATCATTTGCCAACAATATTCACTTACATTTTTTCCAGCGTGGAAACCTCAGAAATTCATCTGCTGGGATCCCACCAGTGGTGTTCTCTGAATGTCACCCGATTCCATCTTGTCAGGGGTGTCAAATCAAAATTTTACCTCACTCACTTCTAATCCCAGCGAGGAATTTCTCTGATCCCAGGAGCAAAAACATCCCTGGCATCCCAAAGCCAGGCCTAGAATGAGGAAAGGTCTGGGGCTCATTTATATCAACCTTAATTACAAACACCCCAAAAATGAGGATAACCTGGGAAAGCAGAGCTTTCCCATTTCCAGGTGGTCAGGACACAGACAGAGGAATTACAAGATTATTTCACCCCAAAATTGATGAGGGGAGATCAGCCTCACTTCCTCTGCAGAATTGTTTTACTGTTTCCTTCCACACATGTGCCTGTGCGACCCCACCTCATGTCAAGGCTGGAGGAAATTTCTTTATTTGCAGCACAAAAAGAGGAAAAAAATACTTATATCTCACCTTAACCTGCATTTATCATCTCCTTTTGTATGAAATTTCCAAGCCTGTTTTGTACAGGTAGAAAAAACTTCCAGGGATTCATGAGGTGACAGCTTCCAGCATGGGCTGGAACTGTGTCAAAGGAAAAAAAAAAACCACCAAAAAAACAAAACAAAAACCAAACCAAAACAAACAAAAAAAAAACCCAAACCAAAAAAGAAAACAAAAAAAACCCCAAAAAATCTCCTCAGAGTCATTGCTGCTGAGGATGAAGCTGGAGATGAAGATTTGGATGCAAATTCCTGGCATGGTTTGGGTGGGAAAGGGATCTCATTCCACCTTCCCCATCCCAGGATGCTCCAGGCCCTGGCCTTGGACACTCCAGGGATGGGGAATCCAAAACCTCCCTGGGAACATTCAATAATTGGGTTTTTTCCCCTAAACCAAGAACTTTGCAGCACCAATCATTATTTGCCTGGGATCCCCTGAGCGTGGGTGAGAGGTTGAGCTGGGGATGGATGCTGGACCACAAGGACTTTTTAAAAATGAATTTAAAAGATATGCAAATCCTCTGGGAAGTCCTCTGATCTTCCTAATGAAGTTTCTGCCCACAATTCAGTGATTTTGGAGCCCTCAGGCCCAGGGAAAAAGGGGAACTTTGGAGTTGAGCTGGGAATGGACACTGGACCAGAAGAACTTGCTAAAAATGAATTTAAATGACATGCAAGTCCTCTGGGAAGGTCTCTGATCCTCCTGACCAAGCTGCATCTTCCTAACGAATTTTTTACCCAAAATTCAGGGATTTTGGAGCCCCAGTCATGGCCAGGGAGAACTTTGGAGAGGGGAACCCACCTGAGGCTGTGCTCACTCACAGGCTGAGCTGTCAGGTGAGGCCCAGCAGCTGAGTGACTGAATTATAATTTACTCCCTGCTCCATTTGAATTAGGGAGAGGCCATTAAAATATCCAGAATAAACACAGCAATTCATCACGGGCTGTCACTGCTGCCTCTCTCCATTTGCTGCCTCCACTAAAGGGGAGCAGAGCAAAAAGCACAGGTCAGACCCAGATATTCTGCTTTAATTTAATTAAGACCTCCTTGTCTTTTACAGTATGCACAGCTCAGAGGAAATTTGGGGTGTTGTGGGCAGGGGTGATAAATAATAAAGGTAATAATGATAATCAAGTGCTGCACTGAAATTCCAGCGAAAAGCAGAGGGAGAATGGCAAAAAGCAGTGCAGAGTCATGGTGCTCACTGGGATGCTGCCTTTTAAAGAGGAAAAAGTGCCTTGGAAAAAGGGATTGAGTCCTCTGCAGGTTCAGGTTATGCAAAATATGGGATCTGGTGCATCACTGAGGGATTGTGGTATGGATTCTTAGCACTGGGTTGATTATTTACCAGCTGGAAGTGTTTTAGTCAACAGGTTTGGGGTTATCTTGTGCAATTAAATCTGGATTTTTATCATTAAAAAAATCAACCAAATTATTTTTTGGCTTATTTTTGTGCAGATGAACTAATAATTATTAATTATTAATTAATACAATATATAATTAATAATTTAATTAATACTATAATTAATAATTTCATTTACAAGCATAATTTAATTCACAAATTGCATCCAAGGTCTGCCCCACTGTTGCTATTATTTTATCCCAGTTTTAAGTGAATTTCAGAGAAAATTGGGATTTTTCCTGACCACAAAATTCTACAAATTCCAGGTTTAATCAAGGAGCCCAACTGCCCTTGGAAACATCCATGGAGGACCAAAATGTGGGATTTTCAGGCAATTCCTGGGGGGAAAATCCTGAATTTTGGGAATCTGAGCTCATTGGGAATGACTAAATTTACAGTAAATAAGTAATAAATAAATAAATTTACCGTAAATAAATTCATTAATGCAATAAATCAAATTGAGAGCCAAAAATCAGAGGGAAGGGAAGGAAAGCAAGGGCAGAAAAAAAGGGGAAAAAAAAATAAAATAAAATGTCTGAAATTTCTTACCTTCACTGCCAGGATTTTTCCACTACGGACATGGTAAGCCCTGGGTGAGGAAAAAATTCAATAATTTGAGATTACATAAAATTGTTTCTGCGAGGATGTGCAATATAAATACACTCATTTCACAGAAAAATGAATTTTACCTCATGGATTTTCTGTAAATTCAATTTTATCCAGCATTTCTAAAGGAAAACTGAGGAAAACAAGGGATCAAAAATATATTTACGAGGGAACCATTTATAGGGGCTTGTATCTTGATTTTTGATATAAAATATACACATTGAAGGTTTTGATACAGCAGAAAAATAAACTATAAATGGGAATTTAACAGAATCATTTAGCTTGGAAAAGACTTCCAAAATTTAAGTCCAAGCTTAAATCTTTGAGTCCAACCTCGAGTTTATAAATTTTCCCATTTTCTTTCAATGGAATTAATTGAGATTATCACCATTATTCAGAATTTTCATGGAAAATCAGGATTATCTCAGTCCCATGGGTATTTTCACAGACAAGCAGCTTCCTCAAATAAATTGAATTGAAACGGATTATGGCAAATCCTTTCTCAGAACTTAAGGACTCACAGAAAATCTCAGCAAAATTCAATTTCTGCATTTATTTGGTGATAAGAGGGTGCACATAAAGATAGAAAAATTATTGGTGATGTTCACATGTACCCAAAATAATTTTCCAGAGTATTTCAACAGCAGTTTGTCCTAATTTTTGAGGAGAAACACCCAAAACTGGCTATTTAACAATGACCTGAATATTTCTAATGATGAAAACGTGAGAAAATAAAGGAAGTTAAAAATAAAAACCTCGAAATCCAATGTAATTTTGCATAAAAACAAAACCATTAAAGGTTTTCCTCTTCACTGGTTTTACTGCCTCGCTCTGATTGATGGCAGCATTGGCAGAGACGTGGCACTAACTTTAAAGAATTCTAATATTTTACCTCTCTGTACCTCCAGCAATTATTGCTGAAGAAGAAAAGCTTTAATAGTTGGGTTTTTTTTTTTTTTTTTTTGCGTGTAAAATCACCCTCAGACAGGGCAAAAATGTCATTTAATCTTATTTATAACCCTGAGCGCTCCCCTGATTTCTGGTAATGGCCTGGAAATTCCTAAAAACTTCACCTTAATTTAATAATTCCTGGATGAACATTTGTGCAGAGGAGTGGCACCAGATTTTAGAGGGGAAAAAAACAGAGTTTAGCAAGACAGAGGGGGAAAAAATCAGTGTAGAAAATGAGATTATCCATGGGAACTTTGAGAGAACAGGAGCTGAATCCATGAATCCACAAATCCATGAATCCATGACTTGGGGATGAAACAGCAGTGGGAAAACATGCTGGATTTAGGATGATTTCCAGGATTTCACGGGAGGAAAAAAAGGATTTAGCAAGGCAGAGGGGAAAAAATCAGTGTAGAAAATGAGATTATCCATGGGAACTTGGATAGAGCTGAATCCATGCATCCATGACTTGGGGATGAACCAAGAGTGGGTTTGGGATGAGCAGGAATGAGGGATGGAGGGGTTGGGAAGGGATGCTCCACGTCTGTTGGGTTAATTGGGACACCACTGGACAGCTTAATTAGCTCATCAGGAAAACTGATCCATTTTCCTCCTAATTTCTGGTAATGGCCTGGAAATTCCTAAAATTTTCACCTTAACTTAATAACTCCTGGATGAACATTTATGCAACTGATTGGCACCAGATTTTAGAGGGGAAAAAATGTTTAGCAAGGCAGAGGGGAAAAAAATCAGTGTAGAAAATGAGATTATCCATGGGAACTTTGGGAGAACAGGAGCTGAATCCATGAATCCACAAATCCATGAATCCAGGACTTGGGGATGAACCAACAGTGGGAAAACATGCTGGATTTAGGATGATTTTCCAGATTTCAAGGGAGGAAAAAAATAATTTAGCAAGGCAGAGAGGAAAAAATCAGTGTAGAAAATGAGATTATCCATGGGAACTTGGACAGAGCTGAATCCATGAATCCATGAGCTCTGGGGATGATCCAACAGTGGGAAAACATCCTGGATATAGGATGATTTCCAGGATTTCAGGGGAGGAAAAAAAAGGATTTAGCAAGGCAGAGAGGAAAAAAATTAGGATAAAAAAAGAGATTTTCCATGGGAACTTTGAGAGAACAGGAGCTGAATCCATGAACCCAGCAGCGGGGAAGCACCCTGGGTTTGGGATGAGCAGGAGTGAGGGATGGAGGGGTTGGGAAGGGATGCTCCACATCTGTTGGGTTAATTGGGACCCCACTGGACAGCTTAATTAGCTCATCAGGAAAGCTGATCCATTTTCCATGGGAGAGATCTCCTGTTTGGGAGCGGGTGGCAGGGAGGAGCTGATGATTTAATTATGATGCACGCCAGGTCATCCGTGGAGGGCTGGGCTCAGGTTCCAGCAGAGGGCAGGTACCTGGTTTGGTTTACAGAGCACTGACAGCACCGACTGAACATTTAATTATGGCTGGGAATTGGATCACAAAGAGCAGGCAGCCCTGGGCTGGGCCTGGGGGATGCCAGGAGGGCAAGGAATTTGTTTACTCCAGGCTGATCCAGCATCTCGGTTGTCCTGGCCTTCCCCTGCACAATAACTGCAAAGTGATTAATGGAGCTGGAATGGGAGCTTTGGTTACACCAAAGGACAACCCTACACCTCTGTGGTCTTTTAATTAACAGCCAACGCTTCAAATTAGGCTGGAGCTGCTGCAGTAATTACCCCTTCCAAGGAAAAAGGGATTTTCTGGGGTGTTCTCTGGGACTGGAAGGTGGAATTGATCGTTTTGGTTGCAGGCAGCAGGGCAAAATCCTGAATTTAATACCTTTAGGCAGGTTCTGAGGGATGAACGACAAAAATCCTGCAGGACAACGAGCACAGCATGAGGAGGAAAACCAGACTTTTAGTCAACCCATGGATGGCTATGAGGGGATTAAACCAAAATTTCTACTCCAAGTCTCATCTCACAGGTTTTGGTGTCACCTCCAGAACTGCAGCAGCCAAACCCATCATTGCAGAACCAGGCAGAGAAAAGCAGCAAAACCCCAAAGATTCCTTCAGCAACCTGGGAACCTTTCAGGGAATGCACTTAAAATCTTCCAGGATGGCAGGAAAATTCCTAAAGCACAGCTAAAACCAGCTGTTCCACTCCTAAAAAACCCCAAACCGGGTGTGGGTTTGAGCAGTGCCCTGCAGGGAGGAGCAGTGGATGCTCAGCACCCAGCTGGGTTGTGGGGGATCTCCCTCACCAAGCCCAGAATCCTGGAACAGCTTGGGTGGGAAGGGACCTTAAATCCCATCCCATTCCAGCCTTTCCACGGGCAGGGACAATTCCCACATTGCCAGGGACCCAGAGCCTGCCTTGCCACCACCCCACACTGCCCAAGGCAAGGACAGGGACCCCAACACTGCCTGCCTGGGACATCCCCGCTGGGGAGCAGCAATGTCCATCCCTGCCTCCACATTCCCAGCAGAACTCACCATCCCAAATCCCATTCCCAGCAGAACTCACCATCCCAAATCCCATTCCCAGCAGAACTCACCATCCCAAACCCTGCACCCATCCCAGCAGCTCCCAGGCCAGGCTGGCACAGTTTTGTCAAATATTTCATGACCCTTGGCTATGAAACCCCATCCCCAGAGATCTGAAGCCCTGAAGGGCCCCACACGAGCCAAGTCCTTCAGCAGGACTTGGTCTCCTCCACTCTCATCCCTCAGGAGTGCTGTGGCCAAAATCTGGGTTATTTTGGGCAATAAATGAGAGAGGTGGTGTGGGAGCGAGTGCTGTGCTTGAACAAAGCCCTGCAGCTGAGCCAAGCCCGTGATGGACTGCAGGGAGCATCCCTGGTGTCCCAGAAAATCAAAATCAATACCAGGGAAAACCAGAATGGGGCTCTGGGGGATCTGCCAGCTCCTCAGCATCTCCCCCCAACCCCAGACAGGAATTGTGGCTGTACAGCAAAGCAAATGAACAACTGGGAGCATCAGAAACAGCAGCTTTGTGTTTTAAGGAAAAAAAAAGGGGAATTTTTGAAATGAAATCCGCATTACCTGATTTGCTCTTCCTGAGGTACAGAAAACCAAGGAGGAATGTCAGTGCCCCGGGCTCCTCATGGAATAAACCACTGCTAATATTTAATGCTAAAAACTTCGTACACTGAATATGATGAATTCCTACTCAACACAGAAGGAAAACAAACCCAACTTGAGAGAAAATGCAGCTGATTCTTAACCAAGAGCTAATAAATTCCTAATGAATAGCTTAGATGGCAAACAAAACACTTCTCTCTCTTTCAATTTGCTCAAACCAACCATTTTCTGTCTTCCCTGTGAGGAATTTTCCCTAAAGCCCAGAGGATGCTGTGGTTGTGGGATAATTCCTTCCAGGGCAAGCAAAGAACCAACTACAGGCTGCAACCTGCAGGCAATCTCAAGGGAGACACCAATTCTCGTTTTTTTTCCATAATTTTACAATTGCAAACCCCTTGCTCACACAATAGTCACATCACAAGCAGGGGCTGAGTTTGCAAAGACCCCTGAGCTTTTTCCAGCAGCTTTTCCCATCAAACACAGCAACTTCTCACTAGAAACTGAGTTTAGTCCTATGTTAAATCTCAAAATAAATGTAATCTCTACCTAGAAGCCAAAATTCATCACATTTATTTTGTTGTAAGGATGGAACTGCAGGAGCCTGGAGCAGCACAGGATCTGCTTCCTCTGGCCACCAGGATAAATCCCTTTATTCTTCCCCCACAATAACCAGGGAAACAATTTCTAATCAATAAGAAATTCCTTGGCAAGCCTGAAGGATTCAAGGGAAAGCCATGACCTGTCTGCTATGCCAATGAGTCAGTCAGAAATATCACCAACATCAGCAGATATGACAAAGTGATGAAGTGCCAGGGAGGCAGCAGAGATGGGGCTGCAGGAGCCAGGGATGCTCCAGCCCAGGGACACCTCAGGCTGGTGCCACGAGGGATGGAGGGACAGGACCCAGGGAATGGCTTCCCACTGCCACAGGGATGGGA